TAGACAGAAGTATCAACTCATCTGATTTTGATAAACAAAGCCTAAAGATAAGACTACAACAAATTCAAAATGACACTAATTCAAATGAATCTATCCTAATAGAACAATCAATACTAATAGTAAATGAAGCAAGAACAATTACAGTCCAAATGATACTTACACTTCATACACTTAAAATTTAACTAAAATGAACAGCAAATCCATAGCCAATTCCTAAACAAACAAAAGGCACATCTATCAACCAAATTCTCCAAAACATAAAACAATCCCAATCAATTAAACAAAAATTAAATTCACATAACATCACTTGCATCGAACAATTCCTTGATTATACAAATCACAAGACACTAAACTGGAAAGCATTTTATCATAATATACAAAAGATACCTAGAGAAAAAATACCAAAATGGTTCAAAACAATCACTAACAATATAACCTCCTTATCAAACCCAGCTACAATTCTTTAATGTTCCAATCCATATACTTTCATTAATATGGACAACCTTTACCCTCAATGGATAATTACAAAATCTCAAATTTTTGGCAAAATAACAAGCATTAATAACAATTTAGCTAGAATTAGATATTACAATAACCATCCACTAAATGAACAACAACTTATTCCATGTTTTGGATGTGAACTTAAAAACCCAAGACTTAAAACAACTCATTGCTACTTCACAATCTCAACACAGCTAATTTTTAAAATACAAGTTGACTGTCATAAACAAATTCATGCAAATCTGAAATGTTTACATTCTGAACAAAAAACCAGCCAAATTAAACAAGAACAAAAACTACAACTATTAACTGGAAAATACTGTACTAACTATAGATTTATTCAAGCCTTCACGAGAGAGCAAAAAGAACTATGGGAAATCTTCACAACAAATACCTTTCCTAAAAAATTAGCAATTACATTAACATCAAACTATAAAAAAACAAGCAAATACAACATACCATTCACTCAACTTGAAATACTACATGACAGAAAAATTTGGCATTGTACAAATCAGTCATTCTCTTTGGTGACCTATATATTATTAACAATGCTAGCCATAATATTTACAGTAATAACTGCAGAAACAAGCATCAAAATTTCAACAGACAGTAATTCAATTAAAAACAAAATTACAACAATTCTTTTGAACCAACTTAAGCCAAGACAAAAACTCGGAAAAATTCAATTCAATAACATAACCAATCTCTTAAATACTATAGTAAATACAAAAAACTTACAAATCCAAATCGACACAACAGAAGAAAAAATTAACATAAAAGATGCATCATACCAATTTCATACAGATCTCATCCCAAGCAAAGTACTCAATAATACATTTGCTCTATACATACTAAACATATCAACTACATATTCAATTCATCAAATATCTAAAATTCTATATGCTGAAACAATGACAATATGGAACAACCAAAATTGTATTAAAAATATTACAAAATGCCTTTCAAACATTAACTGAAAACTTACATTTACATATTTGAACTTTCAAAACAAACCTCTAAGTCAAAATACTGATCCTAAAAAATCTATACTAAAAACATTTAAAGTCAAAATCTTAACTTTTGAACTTCCAACTCATTTAACTCTATACAACAGAAACCCAAAATCTTATTCTAATCCATATTGCACAAAGTGCCCTAATATATCAGAAGATATTCTTCATATGTTAATCTGCTCTCACAATTAAGTAGAACTAAAAGAAATAATAAAAGAAGCAATTATCAAAAACTGTAAAGACAACAAGATCAAATCATCTATAGCATCGAACTTAGCACAAAAAATGCAAGACATTCATATCAAACAAAAAATTTCAATAGAAATTATATCTAACAACTTATCCAACTTGGGACCATTAAAGAAGAAACCAAACTTGCTTCCAAATATATATCATCAAATTGCAAAGAAAATACATAAATACATATAGAAACCAAGCAAATGACATCTTAAATGTCACTCTTTACTCTCACTAACCCCTTCTAAAAACATAAATGTCACACTTACAACTCCCATAGATAGACAATATATGATATGGCTTTATAGATTTATACAATTTAACCAAACATTTCCTCTCACTGAACCCATAGATTAGAGGTTTCTTAACATTCTAGCTAAGAATAGGTTAAGGGTAAATTAGCCCTAACCCCTACTCCCTTAGTTTAATGTATTAATTTGTACTAATATACTTAATTATATATTATCAAAATAAAGGACTAGAGGAAAAACCTTTCTTAAAAAAAAAAAAAAAAAAAACAATATACTATGATTTATAATAAAGAAAATATCAACAACAAAATAGCAAAACAAATTATTAAAAAGCTTTTACAAGTTCTTGACTATATGAATAACAAGCTAACTGATTATATTTCTCAAAAAAAAATTTTATCAGTCATCAAATTACTACTAAACAATAAATCTTTAGGCCTGAATAGGCTTATCTACAAGTTTTATAAACTTACAGAAGAACAGATTATACCAGTACTAGAATTGATTTTTTATTAAATTTTAAACACAGAAACAATGTCTTTATTATAGTACAAAAACTTAATTACACCAATATTAAAGAAATCAAGAGTTATATAATATAAATAATTAGAGACCAATATCTTTAGTAAACTGTGATGCAAAAATTTTTATGAAATTATGGCAATTAGGCTAAACAGAATCTGTAAAATAATAATATCTTAGCATTAACAAGGTTTTATTATATAAAGATTAATAACAGACTTAGTAATAGATATTCTAATGACTTTAAAAAACCAAAATAACAACCTTTCAAAACATTAGATGCTTTTTGTAGACCAACAAAAAGTTTTTAATAGAATAAGCCATGAATTTTTGCAAATAGTACTAAAAAACATGAGTTTTAATAAAAAATTCAGAAACCTAGTAAAGAACCTATTTACTCGACAAAAAGCTTACATCTTGAACTTAAGAAACATTTCAAGTTCCTTTAGAGTAGAAAGAGAAGTCAAACAAGGAGTCCTCTTTTACCTCTATTATATGTGCTTGCATTTGAGCCACTGCTAAATCTAATAGACAACAAAATAATAGAAATCAAAATTGACAACCAGTCTTTTAAATATGTAGCATATGCAAATAACTTAATAGTTAGCATTAACTTATTTTCAGACTGAACAACAATTCTGAATTTATTTGATAAATATGAAAAAGCCTCTAATGCAAAAATTAATAAGCTCAAAACAAACCTAATGCCATTTACCAATTTGCAAAAAGCATAAAACTTCTAGAAAAAACCTAATTTTGAAAACTAAAAAAGCAGAAGTATATAAAAGTACTAGACTATAGCATTACATCAGAAGGCATACTGAAAAAAAACTTGTGACAAGAAGTGACAAGTAAACTTAAAACAAGTTTGGATAAACTAGCTGGCAGAAATCTATTACTAAAAAGAAAAATAATGTTAGCAAACTTCCTGCTACTTTCTAAAATCTGATAAGTTACTTATTTAATACTACTAAACAAAAAACAGATAGCAAAGATCAACAGACTTATTATAATTTGGATTAAAGGCAACTTAAAAATGCTACCAAGATATTCTACTTTTTAACAGTCTTATAAAACAGAAGGCCTACAAGTACCAATAATTGGCAATATACTAGAAGCCAGATTAATTTCAGTTTGGGTTAAACTAATCTCAAGCAATCTACTATGAGCTAAAGTAAAAATAAAATGAATATCTACTTTGCTTAGTCAAAAAAGAAATATTACAGTAAAAGAAGCTCTAAGTATACAACCAATCAGGTTCAAAGCCTGGCCTACAGAATGAAAAACCTATTTATTAGTGTAAAAAAAAGTTAAAGAAAAAATTCTTTCAAACTTGGACTGGCCTTAGAATTCAGTGGACCTAGAAATTGATGAAAAGAAAATACTAGAAATAACAGTTAAACTTATAGTTGAGCTTTCAAGTAGACTTAAAACTAAACTAACAGATCAATCTAATACTATAATATAGTTTCAAGACTGTAACTGGATTCTCCAAAAAGTGATTCTAAATAAAAAGAAGAACATACTTTGGCAGCTTTTTCACAGAGCCTTACCACTAAGATACAGGCTTCATCACTTTGTATTAACAGACTTAGATGAATGTTCATGATGTTCAAATAATATACAAACTATCAAACACTTAGCAATAGAATACAAAATTAGCAAATTAATCTGAATAGAAGCCTACAAATTTCTAAAAACAAATTAAACAGAAGTTATTTCAAACTTAATAAATAAAGTCTTCTTAAAAAAAATCCTAGAAAGAACCAAAGTATATAACACAATTCTGTAGTTACAAATATAGACAATATATGAAATCTGGTACTGCTATACAGCATATAAATGGGATGAAATACAACATCCAAAAATAGCAATTGCTGTCATAACAAGAAACAGAATTTTTAAAGAAATTGGTTTGCTTTGGACTAAAACCCTAGCTAAACCAATTTATAAAAAAATTTATAAATATTTAGCTTAGACCCTTTAATGTGTAAATAGTAATATTAGCATAAAGAAAGTTCTATTTTATTGGTTAATGATCATCAATATCATTAAATTTTTCGATTGGCTGATTTAATAAATATACTATTGCTATTGCTATAGTTATTTTTTATTATCATTTACTATTATACTAATGCATATTACAATTAATACTTTTTTCTTAACTATATGCTTAGTCTTTATAGGAATGAGTTTTAAAAACTTTTTTAAATTTATTTAATGTGCTTGTAACCTGAATATTTATCTGAATATTGCAGTTAACATTAATACAAAATAGTAAATATCTAAACCTTTGTGTTGAAGTTTACAAGTTTGGTGTATAAATTAGTTACTATAGCAAATTTTCAATTGTTCATGTTTCTTTGTTGTTCCTTTGGATGTTACATATAATATTACTGTTATAATTACGAGATCACAAATTTTTTTTATTTTGTTGTATATTTTATTGTCTATTATTGAAATAAAACATCCAATTATGGTTCAAAAAAATGAAGGACCATGTTCAGTCCAAAATTGTGATACTAAAACAGGTCAGTTTCGACAATTCACTCAATTGGCATATAAGAAATCCTAAAAGAAAGGATCCTATGCTCTTTATAATTATTTAATAATTGGGCAACAATTATGTTATAACTATTATATGCGTATTGTTAAGCCTGATAAATACAAAAAGTAGAGTCTTCTATTTCTATAGAAATAGATCAAGATAGACTAACCAATAATAATACAGCTCAAGGTAAAAATGAAATTATAAACTAGTTAATACCTTGCTGCTATTCTAGCATATGATTAGCATTAAGTGCTAATTACATGCTAAATAACTTTTCTAGTAAAATTAAATATTCAAATATTACTTGAATAAATGATTATTTAGAATCAATAGATTATACATTTTCTGAGCAATTTAAAATGCTCACGAATCTTCTATACAAAAAACGTCACGAATTTAGGAGCTTAGAACTTGACCATACTTGCTTTCAACAAATGATTGAAGAAGCTGATCCACATTTAATAGGCTTTTTCAATCAAATGGTAAAGATGCTAATTCCTAACAATAGATCTACCTATAATAAAGTTGAAGCAAAAAAATCAGTTGTAAGTTTGTGCTATATAATGGCAGGAATGAGAAATAAATTTGTTAATGACTTCAAGTTAGAAGTTGGATTATACTTATTGGCATCAGAAACATCGTGTACTGTGATTAATACAATGCATAGTATTAGATTCTCTTCCTGCTACCAGACTGTAATAATTACATGTGACAAATTGTAAATAAGCACCCTAGAAAAATCAGAGAATATTTCTCTGAATATGTAAGTAATTTAAAAGGTTTAATAGACAAATTTATATATGTTACAGGTCAAATTGATTTGACCCAGATCAAATTGATCTCCAGTAAAATTTTAGGATTAGGATAGGCTAGAATTCTGTTGATGCTGACCAAGGTTTTTTAATTGATCAATTTGACCTAGGTTAAGTTTAACTTGACTCATAAACCAATTTGACCTGTAAAATATATACATAATATAATGCTAGAAAAAAGCTTGCAGTTTCTAAAATTTTACTTTATAGAACTCAATTTTTAGTAATATTATTTATTAAGAACTGACAAATAATAAAATTAAAATTTTGAATTAAATAAAGTAAAATCTTATCTATTTAAAACCCATTTTGATGTTTGCAGCTTTGTTTTAATATCATTTAAGGATATGTGAATTTCTACTAAACCTTTGTTATAACAATTCCTACAAAAAGCGTAATTATAACTACTGACAATGTTTTAATAAATAGGATAATTATCTATATATTTATAATTTGGATGATTACCATAATATCCACAAAAACAGAAGGCCAGATACAGTTTTTTTGTCTACTGCAAAACATATGGCCACTTGCGTCTGTAAACAAGTTTTATCTTGTGCACCCGTTTCTCTGATATTCAATAATATATTAATCCATAATCTAGCAAATATCAATGCAAGCAATATCTGTTTTCACTTAATTAATCAGTATTATGGAATATTCGATATTGCTTATATGAATTGTAAGAATCAATGGCTTACCTCTAAAAGATCATATATTAATAATTTTGATCAAACTGATTTGCTTATGGTTCATACCTTTGATGATGATATTGTGGAAAAAAAACAAAAAAAATCAATGGAAGGTGTAAAATTAGTCAGTATTAAAGAAAGAAGTCTATATTCTGTAGACGATTATATAGTAGCATTTCAAATAGTTTTAGATATTAATAATGATATTCAGCACTTAGCTAATAGAATCGTTCTAATAGTAGCAGACTGGCCTAGTCAATTGTTTATTTACAAAGCAATTACAAATTTGCATATAATGAATTCACAATATAATATACTAGCTAAGATTAATTCCTTAATCCCGATTATTAGACCTCTTCATATCTCTCTAAATAGTAGAGAACAAACATTAATTACATATTATCCTTTTTTGAATTAATGTTTCATTTTGTTTTTGGCGAAAAAAAGAAACCTGCCAAAAATCTAGACTGTAGAGAATTAACTTGCTTCTCGACTTTGCTTATAATGGCTGGTGTAAAATTCAAGATATAATTATAAAAAAATTTGGGTGCTGTAAAGATATCGAATATTGCATAATGATTGATTTGTTGGATAATATTATTCCAGCAACCTTGGATATTTATGCTATACTCTTTCAATCTGATTCATTTGATGAATATATAGAAACCATCTTTAGGATTTGGACATTTGCTCTTAGATGGAAACAATGCAATTATAATAAAGCACTGTTGGCATTTCTATCTGATATCTTTTACTGACAAGATACTAACTATCCTTTTGCAGAGGTTATAAAATTATTTTTGGTGAATTTTAATGATTACTATGTTGAAAACATGCATAGTAAGATATGATCTCGTACTTTTGCAACTAGCAGTGTTGATAATATTATCAAACAAGCTTATGTTATAGGTAAGTTTTGTCTTAAATTATTAAAAAACAATAATAAAAAATTTTAATTAAATTAGTATTAATTTGTCAGATGCACAGGATTATTGTAAACTTAAAAACACATTTGAAAAATCATGACAATACCCTTATAAGCCACTAATGTTAGATTTTCTTACAGAAAAAATGGTTTTATTTTTACTAAAACACTTTCACAAGCTCTTCAACAATCATGAAAAAAGTCAATTGTTAAGAAAAGATCAATATAAATTTGTTAATCTAGAAAAGACCATTGATTCAAGGTGTCTTCCAATAGCATACAGTACTGGCTTACCTCCATGACCCAATGCCTGTGATTATTGTTCTCAAGAACTTAGAGATGGGAAAATATTAATCTGTGGGCATGAGTACCATTTTTAATGCTATCAAAGAATGGGATTTGGTTGCTACCATTGTAAAAAATATTACAAATGTGAAATCTATAGCAATGTAAATTCTTTTTTAAATAGGTTAGAGAAAGATCCAAATAATTTAACAACTGAAGAAAAACAAGATATGATCAATGCTGATGAATCTCTAGCTGAAAGTGATGAAACAATAGAAGAAATAGGACTGAATAGAATTTACCAAACACATGCTACCTTTTTAAATGAAATGACTCTTGTTAGTACTTGGTAGTTAAATTTAAATAAATTTATTAAACTGCTATGCAACTACTAATAAACTTTGACTAGTTATAAAAATTTTACAGTACCTTGTCATCTAACTAATAAATCTTCTTAAATGCCATATAAAAGGTAGTAGAAGTTTAATAAATTTCAGTAATGGCAATAAATACTTAGCAAAAAGGTACTCTCATTTAGATTCTTCATCCATTGGATCTGACTGGATGACAACTCACTAAACGACAGAATAACAGGCAACATATATATATGTATAACTATTTTGATTTTTTTTTAGTAAAAAAAAAAATTTTCCTATAGCAAATAGATCTATATATCGAATGTACTTTAAAATTACAGTTGATCTATATAAATGATGATATTTTTTTTTATTTAATCAGAATGAACCTTACTAATGCTAGTAATATTATAGTTATATTTAATAATAAAAAGTGCTACACATGTCCTATGATGATCTATCTGAAATAGTTAAAATATATATATATATATATATATATAGTAACACTATAGTAAATATTGCATTATAATTAATAAACATTAATTAATTTATAATTAAATTAATGTTCCATTATTTTAGAATATCTCTAGACACCTGAGGCATGATCTGAGGCCTTTGGTCAGGGCTCTTATAACACTAAAAAACTATATTTTTAAATATTCTAATAACTATTGACTAAAATAAAATACTATAAGAAATCTATTAATAAAATAAATATTAACCTATTAAATAGATAATTAAAACTAATAAAATAATTTATAAACTATGTAAAAATATTAAAAAAAATATAAAATATAATATAGAGCTAAAAATGAATATATAATAATATAGAAAAAAAAATAAATTCTATTACAATATGATTTAGTGAGTTAATACAAATTACAGATTTAGAGAGTTTAAAATAAAACACCCAAGCAAAGATGTTAGGTATAGCAATTGGTAAAAAACATTTAAGCAAACTTTTAAATAGGTAATATAAAAGTTATATATATAGACAATTGTGCATTCTTCTGTAGTGATTTATAGAATCACATTATCAAAAAGTCATTAATAAAAGTCAAAAGACCAAAGAGGTCAGCTTAACACCAAAAAAATAATAATAATAAAGCCAAAAACCAATATACAAAGCTAAATCTAATATAACCAACCAAGATCTAATATAATAAGTTAAGATTTAATATAACAAAGCAAGGTCTAATATAAAGAAGTAAAGATTTAATGCAATAAGACAAAATCTAGTATAAAAAAGCTAAGATCTAACTATATAACATTTTGAACTTATTTAATTTTTAGATGCTTGAAAAAAAAAGAACTAATGCAATTTAAATAAATCTTAATTAGGCTTAAAAACATTTTTAATAAAATGTTATACAAAATAAGTTTTTTTTTTTGTTTAGAGTATACTAATTAAAAAATTCTTTTTTATTTAGCAATAAGAAAATAATATTAAACAAGATTTTAATTTCAATAGCTTTATTTATTTTATTTTTTTTCTTAAAGTAACATTTTTGCCTATATGTCTTTTAATTAAGTAATATATGATTACATTCTTATTTACAAAGTCTATCAACAAGGCTACAATTAGCTATATATACAACTTTAGTTATTGTCTATTTAAAGGTTCTGCCTACAGGTTACTTGCTAATTGCCATACCTGAAACCTACCTGTGAGTTCTCTGTTTAAAGTCTTTGCTTTTCAACTCTATTGCATATATATGCAACATCTACATTACTATTATAAGACATATTAGGTTAGAGCTATCTGGTTACTATTTATATCAAGATACTACTTTATTGGATGTTACTGAGTATCTATAGCCCTCGATTCACCCTTGATGCAAGCTTACTAAGCTAGTATCAAAATTACTATTTAGATCCAATTTAGTATATCCTATATCTACTAAACCAGTTTTAATATCAGAAGTGTTTGAATTTCAGTAAGTTCATTTCTTTTCTGTAGCTTTTTTTTATATTCATCATATTACTTACTAGTATTCCTTCTCTTTATTTCTGGTATATTTATTGCATCTCTTGTATTGAGCATTAACTTATCATA